TAAAATGGGCTGTTCTGTGAGTTAAACTATTTATACCAATGTAGGTAGCAGAATCATTATTAGAAAAAATAAACACTTCCTCTTTTTTTTTTTTTTTTTTTTTTTCGAGGATCACTGTAGCCTTTTTGAACAAAGATCAGTCTTACTAAAATTTATTTTTCTGTTAACCTACATAAAAAGATGTAGATGTAGATGTAGATCTGTAAAAGAATGTTCTTCAATTAAGTTAATGTTCAATAAAATTAAGAATGCCTCAGCATCATCTGAGGAGTCTCGTTACAAACTGTTACTCTTAAGTTCCAGTGACCAGCAAATCCACCAGTTTAGCTTGCTATTTAAATACTACCAGCAAAGTGATAAAGCTCATGTTTTTTAAAAATTCACTAAAAAGACTATTATGGTTTGTTTGAATTTTATATTGTATGTACATACAGTATAAAATTGTACAAAATATAATATTTTTTTATTGTAATATGTATTTATATTGTTGCTAATTATGTATAGGTATAAGGATATGCTGATCTTGGCTAAAAGATAATTTCAATGAGCATCCATAAGTTTCTATTTTACACAGGAGATGAGGACAACTGTGGCCACACAAAAAATCATAACTTCTTTACCAGTCTACTTAAGACTCTTCTAGTAGATGAATACACCTCTGTTTGATTTTGTTATCAAATAGCTTTCCCATTTTCCTTATTCTTAAATTATCCTGTTGTCATGTGATGAGCTGATCACTCCAAGTCTTGGAGCAAGGTAAGAATGCTCACCCCAAGGCAAGGAAGCCCAATATTCCTTCTTTTTTTTTTTAAGGTTGATTTCTTTACTTGTCCTTCCACTCTCTCCTACAAGGTCTCGGAAGTTCATCCCTTTGCTCTTACCTACCTCTACCTATGTGATCTTAGAAGAAGATTGATCTCTGCTTACAGTCCTTACTAATCAATCATGTGTGGCTGATCCTGCTAACAATAATTTCTCCTTACCTAACTCAATAATAACCTGTTGTGTATGAATGCATATTGTGGAGACCCGTGAGATATCAGACTTCATACATTTAACAATCTTGACTATTAGTAACTTAACTGTGAGTTCTAATTCCTGAGAGTCTGATATTTCACACTGATATATGAGTATATAAATTTAAAAAATCAAATCAGCAAGGATTACCACCTCTTCCATCCTCATGGAGGATCCTCCACAGAGAGATCTTTACAAGGAACCTATTTTATTGATTCCTCAGCTTTGGAAGAATAACCTTGCTGTATGGTTTTCCAATTGCAAAAAGCTGAATGAAACTCCTTAAAAAACCTTAATGATGCATGTTCCTTGATCTTGAGGAAGAAAAGGAATAGTTTTGTCACCCAGGTTATCTCCTCAAATGTGAAGAGAAGATATCTTAAGGGTGACAAGTTTCATAAGTGAACTTTTAACAATTCTGCCAAATATATGCCATAGATGTAACATGATTCACTTATTGATTTAGGGTTCTTTCATATTTATGATTTCATCATATTCATAACACCAAACATTACTTTTATTTTTTTATCATTAATAAAAATTGTATTATAATGATAGTTGAAACCGATGATGAATTTCTTTATATATTCTGAAAGCGTTGTAACTAATCACCTTGTTTAAGAGATTGCTTCTAAGCTTGAGGTAATTCATGCCTAGTTATTTTTAATATACTTATCAATAATATGATTTTTTATGTACTATTAAAATTATTTGTTATAATATATATTTTGTATTTGTTACTACGGTTAATATTTGCTGTGCCGAATGGTAAGCGTCCGAGGGGTAGACCGAAGCGAAGGTGGGAAGATTGCGTTAAAGCCGATCTGAAGGGACTGGGTTTGGATGGCGAACGATGGAGGGAGGTGTGCAATAAGCGATTGGTGGTGTCGGCATCGAACCTTCGGGTTCGCTAAGCCTTTTTATTATTATTATTATTATTTGTTACTCCATGAATTTGTCTAGAACAGGACTGTACAGATTCAGTATTATATAGACTGTTTTTTTTTATCAAATGAGTTACTTGAAGCAGTGTTCATATTAACACATAAATGTAGATTGAGTAATCAATTCAAAAAGGCTGATTTTATTAGAACTTTATATTATATCAGCACTTTTTTATTTTTCATGTTAGTAATATAATGTGTGTTTGGTTTTTATGAATATCTCTCTACATTAAAGAACTAAAATTTAAAATATTTTTATATTAAATATTATCTAAATTGAAGAATATTTGTTTAATATTTAATAAAAAATAACAAAAGTTCTTAACAAAAGACATGGATAAATGTTAGGATATGTAGGGAAAATATAACATTTCTTAGGACAACCATTCTCTACGGGTTTAGATGCCATTTTATCTATATGTATGTGATTGTTTATCTCTGTCCTGATGATGTATAATGTCTTATTCTAAAATCTTATATAATTTTCTGCTATTGAGGTGAATAACTTTTTAGTAGTTAAAATATTGTCTTGTTCTCATAGTATAAAAAAGCTATGAAGAGAATAAATATTATTATTTATTTTTTACTGATCACCCCAACTATCCATCTCTTCATTATTCACTACAGACCACCATCCCACAATTATAAAAAAACTACTTCTCCAATGAACTAAATTTTACAAGAAACGAGGTTAACAATAAATTTCTTCATCTGCATCAAAACTTTGGTACTTTAAAACAAACTTTGAGGTTTTTGATATGTAAAAGTTGTTATTTTAATTTACAAAACTGTATTAATATATATATTAAGAAACGGATTTAGACCTTTTCTTTTTAATTTTTAAGTTATAAATTGTTGCAACATTGTTTAATGTAAATATAAATTGTTGCAGTGATGCCTATATGTGTTACAATAAATTCAAGAATATTGTGATTAAAAAACTTAGGCAATCCCCTCAGAAGAAAATAAATAATAATTAGTGAATATTTAATAGTTGACCGTTGCATTACAAAGGAAAGAGATGGTCCAGGGTGACGGTCATAAAAAGGCTAAATAGTGGCAAAACTATTTTATTAAAAGCCAACGTTTCGACCCGACTTTGCAGGTCTTCTTTATGGCTAGATATCTCCAGTTATCTTCTCTCCATATTCCTGATAACTTTATCCTTGTTTCCCTAGACCCCGAAAGCTTATTTACCAACATCCCAATAGACAAAGCCCTCCACATTGTACAGAAAAACTGGACTATCATCAAACCTCACACCACCCTCAACCTATTTTTATACCTTGAATCCCTTGAGCTTTGTTGCAGATCCAGATACATTACCTTCCAAGGAAAATTCTTTAATCAGAATTTAGGCTTAGCAATGGGGAATTCTTTAGCAACAGATATTTCCAATATCGTTCTTAATGGCCTTCTAGACTCTGTTATCCCTTCTTTCCATCAAAAAATATGTCAATGACCTCCTCCTTGTTCTTAACCCTGTCAGTATTCCTCAAATTCTTTCCTCATTCAACTATTACCACCCCCATCTTCGTTTCACTATAGAACAACAAGCTAACAATTTATTCCATATCTTCAAATTTTAGATACTGTAATTTTCCAGGTTTTTATTTTTCCTCCATTGCCCAAACAGGTCAGCAAATTTCCCCAATACCCACCCTTACCTTGATTTTCCAGTTCTAGATGAAACTCCTTGCTGAACACACCTGTAAGTCTCTATTTTTATTCTTCTAATTTTATATACTTATTTATTAATTTATGGTTTTCCTTTTTTCTTTTCTGTTTCCACATTCCTTTATGTCTTTTGTTTTTTTTTCTTTTCGGTTCACTCTGCTGTTTATTTTGGCCGCCTGAACCAATCTTCTCCACCTCTGCCTGTCTTGGGCTACTGCTTTCCAGTTTGCGGCATGAAGCTCAGCCGTATCTTTGTTTATCCTAGCTATTCATCTGGTTTTGGTGTCCCACGTGGTCTCTTGCCTGCTACTCTGGCATTCATTGTCATGTGAAGTCATCCTGATAGATTGCTACGAGCTAGATGCCCTACCCATCTTAACCTCCTTGCCTTCATGTCATGAGATATTGACTGACCCGTTTCTTTCAGCAGTTCTTTATTGTCCCTTCTCCTCCATGTGTCAAGGTTCTGGTCCCATATAGATCCTGTTATTTTACGTAGAACTTTTCTTTCGAATCTCAATTCTGGCTTCTAATGTGCCGGTTAGAGCCCAGGTTTCACTTCCGTTCAGCAGAACTGGCTTAATCACGGCGTTGTACACCCTTATTTTGAGATTTCTGCAGATTTTTCTGGATTTCAGTACCTTTGAAAGAGAGAAGAAAGATCTGTTCGCACTTGTTATTCACTGGTCTATCTCTGTTAGTTGATCATTTATTTAGGTTATTGTGGAGCCGAGGTATTTCTATCTGTCTACTTTTGGGAATGACTTAGAGTCCACGCAGATCATGTTATTAGGGTGGATGTTTCAGCAAACTATCATGTATTTTGTTTTATCTACATTGACCTGTAGTCCGATTTCCTCTGCTTCTTTTAATAGAGTCCGAGCGAGTTTCTCAATATCCTATCAGAGGACACTGCAATGAGCTTAAAGATATGAATATTTAAACTCCAACAATTGTTACAATTTATTTGCTTCAGTTTAGGATCTTGTTACTTAGCTTACTCTGTTTATATTTTGATGTACATACTGTTTATAATTTTAATAAGCTTATTCACATTGTTTATAATTTTTTGTTTTAATATTATATAACTTCCACAATCCTCTATATCTTTTTGTATCTTGTCCGTTCTAGACCTGAAGAAGACCTGCAAGTCGGGTCAAAATGTTGGCTTTTAATAAAATAGTTGTGTCACTATTTAGCCTTTTTATGACCACCACTCTGGACCATCTCCTTCCTAAATAATAATTAGAATTTTTATTTTAGTTTTTACAAACATTTTTTATGTAATATATTGTAGATATTAACAATTATTTATTTTTTTTTTAGGGGAGAGTTTATGTCTGTGAAAGTACTATGTAGATAATGAAATTTCTGCGATGTGAGTCATTCTTCACACATAATCCAAATGAATTAAGAATATTTATCGATAAAACACTTTGTAAAAATAGGTTAGCTAATCAGTTAATGTTTTCCTTTGTTGTACAGGATTCTTATGGAGCACTTTATTTTTATATGTTAGATTAAATTAATTATTAATTTTTATTTTTTTTTTTTTGTGATTTCAGGAGTTTTGAACACAATAATATAGCCATTTACTTGAATCGTTATTCTGAAAAATGTAAAACATTTAAGAGAATTCAGGTGAAAGTAAATGTATACAATTTTTATTTCTACTCTCAGAGCAATCACAAGGAACTTTGTGGTTGACTACAAATTTTGAAATCTGAGTCTATGATCTTCCTTTTTTCAGAAATTGACAAATCAAAACTTTCTTATAATTTTTAATTTAATTATGATTTTCTCAGGAATAACCTTTCTAACCATTTTTCAACCAAGCCTTCAATTAATGCTAATTCTGTTTTGAAAAAAATAGTAGAGAAAAAGTCTAGACAGTTGATTTCACCAAATATTGCTTACATGAGTAGAAATTTAGGTATTAAAACAATTTTTTTTTTCTTCTGTAAATCAAGATTTATCAAAATTGGCAGCCAATGGTAAGAATAATAACTTCACTCAGATTATATCGGAAAATCATTGTTTTGCCCGATTGCATAATACAGAGTATGGATACCCTCTGCGTATTTGTAAAGTTCCAGAAATCAATAATTATGAATTAGCTACCCAATTAAATTGTACAATAAAGGATGCTGTCAACAATTGTGCTGAAAACTTAACTTTTAATAATGAAATAAACTGTAATCATTCAAATGAAATTAATAATTGTGTTAAAGCAACATTCTTCATTAGAAGTTTTTCATAATTAATCCAGTGAAACCTGCAATTTAATCCAGTGCTGGATTACATCTGCAAGAAGATCAGCTTACTTATATTGCAAAAAATAGTGGCGATAATTCTTCTATAAAAAATTTAGAAAATTCTGTGGTAGATGACAGGATTACTAGTGCAATTAACTAATCAAATCTAATATAGAACCACTCAATGAAAATCCTAGAAATATTAATGAAAACGAATTTTGTGGAAATGATAGCCTAGGTTCTACAAAAGATACTTCTGTTATGCTCTCAAAGCGACGTTTATCTAATGAAAAAGAAAATGGGCAGTACAGAAAAAAACTAACAAGTGTATATTTAAAACACTGCCTATTGCAATAAATTCTGAATGAACTTGTCTTGTTGAGGGATTATAAAATAATTGTTAGATGAAATAGTTTTCAAAAAAATTATTTTTATTCATCACAACATGATTGCTATTTTTCAAAATTTTTTTGGTTTTAAAAATCATGCAGTAAGACCTCATTCTGTTTTGACTTGTTTGTGGAAGCTTAGAAAGCATTGTTGAAAAGTTAACTACTATAATGGTTACCAATATGCAGATATTACTTGTGTGTGGATCAATGTAAGTTTTGTACATTTGTAAATAAAATCAATTTATTTTTAATATTTAAAAATGTGTTAAATCATAATTTTTTTTTTTGCTTTATGAAAAAACCAAAGTTTTTAAAAATCATTGTGTTTAATATATATATATATATATATACACACATAAATCTTTGTTTTTATAAAAATTTATTCTGAGAAATATTCCTTAAAAAGGAGATAAAATCTATCATAAACTGAATTTACTTGCTATGTATGTCATTATAGCTATGTTAATCATTATTGTGTTAAAATATATATATATTTAAAACTTTGTTTTTATAAAATTTATATTGAGAAATATACCTTGAAAAGGAGATAGAATCTATCATAAACTGAATTTACTTGCTATGTTGTAAATAAAATATGATAATAAGTTGCATGATGTATATATTCAATCAATGTTCCTTTATATGGATCTTTCTCTCCTTTTTTTTTCCTAAACGGTACAATTATAAATATACTTACTTAAATCATTTTTAAATGACAGATATAACATTGGTTTTGTATATAGTTAGTTTGATTATAGTTTTCTTCTTCTTTTTTTTTTCAATTTACTTAATTGAAGTGATCTTATGGCCAGAAGTAATGCATTTTTTTTTTTTTTTTTTTGACGTAAAACTTAAAGGAGATAAAATCTATCATAAATCTAGATACAAACAATAATTACAAAGGGCTAAGAGAAGAAAAAGATTCAGTGTCTTTAACACTACTGTCAACATATGTTCCATTGGCACCTGTCAAATCTTATTTGAATTATGATAATCTAGCCAAAATCATTCCATTTCCAAGATCAGAATCTACCTCTCAGTTATTCTCTCCATCGGCTCAGACCTAATCAACTGTTTTAAGATTCTTTTATTACGAAGCCCAACACATTACATGGCCAAGTTAATCTTCACATAGATTCATACCAAATGGAGTAATCTCGCTATCATTGGAAGATGCAAGGAGACAGTGGCACCTGTGAAAACTACTTGGACAGAAGACCAGCAAACTCTACAGTATTAAATAAAGTTAAATAAAAAGAGATGTTTTGGATGAACCTAGCTGTTTACCTGCTTGATATAAATGTTTTTTGTTTTTCTTTGAACACTCCTGATAAGAGGTGGAAGGGGCAGCCAAAGCTGCAAACTATGTATTGGGTTGGCAAATAAGTCCTTTCGATTTTTCTGTCACTATGATATACTTCAAATCTGATGAATTAATCCGTAAGGTGGATTGTTTATCCTGTTTGTAATATGTCGACAATTATATTTATTAACTCTTGTTGAAACTAGCTTAGTATTGTGTTTGCTATTGCAGTGTGAATATGGAAGAAAATATCATTCATTATCTGCATATTTTGTTGTATTATTTTAAAAAAGGTAACCGTGCTGCAGTAGCACATAGAAAAATTTGCAGTGTTTATGGAGATGATGCCCTAACCAAACGCAGCTGTCAAAATTGATTTGCCAAATTTCATTCAGGAAATTTTGACATCAATGATGCTCAACAGTCTGGTCGCCCACATGAAATTGAAACGAGCAATGTTAAGGGCATTGTTGATCAAAATCAAAATCCCACACAAACCGTGCGAGAGATTGCCATAGTCCTAAATGTGTCGCACACAAGCGTAGAAAACCATTTGCACAAGCTCGGCTATGCTTCCAGGCTTAATGTTTGGATCCCTCACATAATTTTTTCTTGAAAATCACAAAAATAACATTTGTTATAACTTCAATACGACTTTCATATCAACAAGAAATTAAGGACCACCTAAACTTCTCAAAATGACATCAACAGGACCTTCATAAACAAATTACAAATGGAGATAAAAAATAAAAACCTATAAGGAGTTTTTGTTTATTTATCCCTTATGTAGGCATTAAATAAAAAAAACAAACATTCATATGACTTTAAAGAACAATAATACAGCTTTACAACGGATATAGTAACATCGAATTTGGAGAACATCCTGAATAGTTATGAATGATCGGAAGGGTGTTATGTTCCACCAAGACAACGCTAGGCCCCACACCTTATTGCTCACTCGCAATGAATTATTGAGCTTTGGATGGGATGAATTATTTGCCCATCAGACCTAGCCCCACGTGACTACTACTTATTCCGGTCTCTGCAGAACTCCATGAATGGAAAAAAATTCCAAAAGGAAGAGGACATCGAAAACAACTCGGATCCAAGTGTTCAGGATGTAAGTTTTCAACTATTCTCTTTGAAAATTTTCTGTCTTGCATACACTTGTCATTTGTAAAATGGGGATTGGACCACCGTTAGATGGACAGGGCATACCCCAGTACCGGCCTTAGGCATTTGGGGTTCCCTGGGCAATGACGTCATCTCCACCCTCCCAAAATAATTAAATTTATTTTTTAAGCTGTTTTGTATTATGTAATATTCGAATTTTATTTCATGCAAAACTCCTTTAATATATTTGCATTATTAATCGGCTGAAATCAATTATTAGAATAGAATAGAAAATAATTTTACTCTGGAACTAAGTCCCTTTAGAATTATAATAAGTTTTTATATTTATATTAAGTTTTGTATTTATATTTTTTTAATTCTTAACAAGTACAAGTGATGAGTGACCCTGATGGTCGACGCCCTCATCGGGCGCTCCTAGAGATCGCCGATCGACGTTCGACCCTATCGTCATTTATAGAAGCGAATTCTGAGCCCTGAAGCAACGTGATGCCTCCAAAAGCATGGAAATTAGGTATCTGAGGAAAATGGAGGAAAAGACCAAGAGAGGCCGGATACGTAACACAATAATACGGACTACGCTAAAAATTGAATCCCTCAACCAGATAATAGAGAAAGGGCAGCTTTGATGGTTCGGTCATGTAATGAGGATGGAAGACCGCCGATCGGCAAAGAAAATTATGAAGGCTAAACCAGCGGGAAAACAACCTAGAGGAAGACCAAGAATTATTCGGGAAGATAATCTCAAGAATATTCTTAAAGATAGAGAAATTGGATGGCCGGAAGCCAGGAGAGCAGCCCACGACAGAGACGGGTGAAAATCCTTGTACAAAAATCTACACTAAAAGGTAGAAGAGATTATTGAATAAGAAGAATTTCCTTTGACGACTGTGTTTAGAAACAAGCAATACTAATGATTGTAAAAAAAATGGAACTTCGGAAAGATTCTCAGTTTTATCAGAAACATTTATAACGAAACTCGTTGAAAAAATAAGTTAACGGAAGTAAATATTGCATATTATTACAGAAAGGCTCGAAATCGGTTTTATACCAAATATAAGCTACTGTCATGCTCAAAGGATTGTGGGTACCGTTGGATTCAGAATTTCACGGGGGTTAGCGATTCGTACACTCTACTTTTGTTTTTCTTTCTAAAATAAATAAAGTCGATATAAAAATTTTGCTAGGTTTCAATACTGGAACGGTGGTAAGTCTGCAGATAGATACGGGACAAATTGTGCTTTGAAGATTTTGATGCGTACAGCAAGACCCGGATACCGGAACCTGCTTACTTAAGCCCCAAAAGGTACTATTTTCGAGATAATGCAAGGCAAAGGGTTTGCATCCACACAACCTTACGTTAATTGTAGTACTGCCATGGAATACACCTCAAGTCGACTTGAGGTCCCTATGAACAAGAGAAGAGTTTATATTACTTATCGAAGGTGTTTTTTGTCGGTAAGCCACACCATCAGAATTCTTTACCAAATCCCAAGATTGAGCCACCGATTTTGAAGATTTCCTTCTTCAGGCAGAAAAAATAGTCCCATTACCCCGAAAATTCAGATAAACAAGTTATGAAAGAAAAGAAATTTTATTTGCGAATAACACAAAAATTTAACACTT